TTCTCAATGTAACAGATTGCAGCTTTAACTTCTACATGTCTCGTTTGACCTTTGGTTTTTCCACTGCCACACACTCATTTCCCTAGATACATGTTAAAACACACCATTTAACCATTGTGACAAGAATATATTCATTGTGAGATATCAATCCACTACAATACAGTCCTCAATAATTGTTTGACACTGTTTCCTTACCCTGCAGACACTAAGGGCTGGACTGGTTTTATCCGGTCAGATGTAACGGGGCCATTGAACTTTAGCAGAACAAACAGCTTTTTCTTGGAAGTCAATCCCCTAATAACAGAACCCAGATGTTCAGTACGTGCATATTGAAACATAGCAACCAGACCTAAATAAACTCCTGATATCAAAATATTTATAAAGTTTTGACCATCAGCAGACACTGTAGTTCCTTTAAACCTTAGTATACAGTGCTTAAAGCTCTCTGCAGGTTTCAGTATTTGCTCTTTATCCAAACGTACATTTTTCGTAAGTCATCAAACAGATTTATAGCCTGGCCAACCAGAGCATTATTCAGTCTGGACAGACCAATCACAGAGAAGGAGGCAGGATTATGATGCATATTTAACATCAGATGCGAAGGTGCTGACAATGAAAAATTGTTTTAGAACAAATTTCTACTGAAGATCACAAAAAATAATACAAGAACTCCACAGTTCTTAATGCAAAATTTGCAAAATTGGTCCTTTGTAAAAATAAGTAAACATTTGATATGTTCAAGCTTCAGCTATTTTTAATGTCACTATGCCGTACTTTCAAATTTACAATTCCCCTTCAGCTGCCATGACCCCCCACGTCAAGACTTTTAAATAAATGGAGCAACTGGTCCCCACTCTGTAGAATTTTCTAGCTATGAGGTTTTATATATACATTCATAGCAAAGTGTTATATATTTTGTTTTATTTCATAAATTTTTTATTTCATAAATGCTTAAAACCACATGAGTAAGTGTTAACCATATCCAAAGCTTCTTGAAGAAAGAAGAGGACAAGTTATTCACTTTTAATTCTCCTCTTGCCATGTTCAATGTCAGGGATTGTTAAACAATGGAACTTTATAACTGATTAATCAAATAGTAGTCTGATGTCGCCGCATGCAATCTTGTGATAAGTTGACAGCTCACACCGTCTGCTTCCTGACTTTAGACCTCACATATTCTCCATCAAATACAAAACAAAGTTAAATAAAAGCATAGAGGCCTTGACGGGTAATTGTTTTCATCCTTTGTAATTTTGTTTGGAAACCTCGTTACGTATTAATATGTCCAATTTGTGCTTTCTTCCAGGTGTGTCTATGATCAGCCTCTGCTTCAGTCCAGGTCCTCCTTCAGGTTTTTACCTCTGTCATGTCTGTGAGACCAAATGCTCTTTAAAGAACATCTTTGGGCACGTCCATTCAGAAGAGCATTGGTTCAACTACTTTGTAAGTGTTTGACATCTTCAGTTATTAATCAGATATTTTGGACTAAGATCCTTAACCATATCCATGTTTTAAGGTCTACACAAATCCAGATGATGTGAGTTTCTCCTGGAGACCAGGCATGGACATAAGGAGCGTTCTGCGGTCTAAGCTCAAAAGTGAAGTTAAAAAAACTGAGCTTAATTATCTGCAGGTTTGTACAATGATGCTGATCATATGTCAGATTAATAAATTGTGCTGTTGGTTGGTTTAATTGAACCATCGGAGTGGCTTTAATCAGCATTAAATCAATTCTGCAAGTGAAGTTGGTCATGTCTTTAACATAGATGAAGCACTTCCAACTCATCTGTTTATCTGCTTGACAAACATCCTTACAAACTTGCCAAAATCCTTTAAATGTGGATTTTATTTATTTAGTTTTTATTTCAAACAGTATGTTGAGTCTGGCTGTCCTACATTGGTGGAACACATTACAGGGAAGTCGAATGTGAGATCTTTCTTTTTAAAATGTCCTCTTAAAGGTATAGCAGAGGATGTTCTTTTTCCGAGTGGAGCATCAAAATAAGTGGTTCTCCTAATTGTTAATCAATCCGGTGATATGTTTCTGCACATTCGCACTTTCAGGTGTATATTTGTGATGACCTACGGTTTCAGCCAGGCACTCCTTTCTCACTGCTGTTCTTTAAAAATGGCCGAGGGTCATAAGAGAGAGTGTCTACGAAGAAGGGAAAGGCCTCAGAAGAGGGAAACAAGAGCAGAGTTTTTTTTAGGAGATTCTCTCACTCGTTGGCGTACACTGAAAGCACAGCAGGTTCAGGGTTGTGCATATGCATTTTTTTTTTAAGTGGAAAGGGCGGGTATTTTCAAAGATTTGCAAAAATCCTCCACTATACCTTTAAGGCATATAAAAAGAACAGCTAATCATGGTTCTTTGAAAATCCTTCAATTAGCTTTAATCTTCCCAGACTGCTACTGTGTCCTGATTGAGGAAATAGGAAAGTGTAACTCACCCCATTTGACATTATTGGTATGTAGAAGGTTGCAATTACCCAGTTCGATCACCACAATCTGCACTCTGGGTCTCAAGGGACTGTGCAGAACCTAATTGGAGTGACAATTAGGTCTGTTTTGGCCCTGGCTTTCTCTAATTGCATGTGTGTGCACGATAGCCTGATGCACACGTGGAATTATTTTTGTGGAAATCTGTGTTGCGTTCCAAGTTTGTCAAAGTTGTTCTTTTAAAAAAGTGAACAAGACAAAACCAGAACTTTTGGCAGAATTTTGGGTTGATGAAAGAGAAGAAAAATGGATTTGTCAGACTTAACCAGTTTTCTCTTCGTAGGCACTGCATTTACCCTTACAGCTACTTAAAAATCTGATGGATTCAACTTACACAGAAGGTAATTTGTTCTCTGAATGTTGACCAAAAAGTATTTTTCTCTGAACATGTTCTTTAATAACATTAATCTTGCTATTATCCCTAGTGATGCAAGCTTTAGCTGAAAAGGACAAGCTTGTTGAGCAGTTTGAAGGTATGTGTGCTATTTCTAAATGGTTAGTCAGATTTATCCACTAATGCTGCACCATGTTAAACATCAGCTGGGAAGTTTTCCTTAATATAGGGATGTCTTGGCATTATATTAAGAGCACGAACAGAACATCACAGGGTTTATAGTTTTGTTTGATAAATTACACAAATGACTTTACCTCTAACTATGGTTGCTGTGCTAAACTTCAACTTGAGGTTTTTATTTTTTCATCTTTCACATGTTTTTTTTTTTCTGGTTTTATGAGATATCCATATTATAACAATGGATTTCACCTTTAGGGAATCCTCAATTCAGCTTAAAATGGAGTTTTGTATACCATCTCTCTGTATTCAGTGGTTACAAAGTTTTCCAGCATTTTCTATTAGAAAAGTGATTTCAAAAGTAGCTTTACAAAAAAATCTACCTTGCATTTCACTCTAATTCTCACTTTGAATTCAGCAACTGTCAAGGTAATCATCCATCTAGTGGATATTACGGATTTCAGCTGTAAATCATAACACCCCTACATAACCTAAAAACTTTTTTATTACCTCTTTGCGTTCCGTCTTTATATTCTTACATTTATAAACTACTGTGATATTATGTCTGTTTGTGATATTTCAATAGGTATGGTACTTTTTAAGGTGTTTACACTTCATTCTTGGACTAAAACAGATTACCTTACCTGTACATTTTGATAAAGCAAGATCCTATTTAAGTGAAAGTCATATGACTGATGTGGAGTTTTTCCTTTTCTAGTCTTGCTCTTAATCGCTTTCTTTTCCTCTTCCAGCTATACAAAAGAACAGGACAGATCTTCAAGATTACCACAGCAGCAGTAACAGGAAGCATCCACTTCTTGGTTTGTTAAAAATGTTTCATTTTACAAGTTGAAAACATCCAAACCAATGATAAAGATCATTTTTAGACAGAGAACGCTTATTAAAAAATAAAAATGCGTTGTGTTTAGTTAGGCTAAAATTCCAGCTTTTTTTTCTCTTTTATCTTCCAGGACTGCAGCACATTGTTGAATGTGTTTGTGCCAAGCCAGGAGAGAAGAGATATTACCTCTGCACTTTGTGCTGCCTTGTCTTTGCCAACCACATGATCATCAAACATGTGCTCAGCCTTGACCACATTCACTGTTACTTTGTAAGTAGACCTGACATTAAAACGAGCGGTTATTTTAAACAAATCACACACCCCCGTTTAAATAGGCGTTACATCTGGCTTAAAAGTGATACAAGAAGAGTTTAGTCTTTTGCCAGTTTATTTTTTTTCTTCTGTTTTGTCACTTGGTTACACATTTATAAAAGCAAATGATAGTAAATAAATATATTTTATTAATCTATTGTTATTATTATTAGGGTAAACGTAAAACTATCTAAACACATGAGAAAACAGATTGCCACACCTTTCTAAGCTGAACTTTCTTCTCAATTCAGCCTTTTTGATTTCTAATCTTTAATATTAAGCTTAAGTATCTGGAACATGAGTGCAAATTTGATATCACAAACATGCAAATAAGAGATGGTATGAAAAGTAAAAAAACTTAAATCCTTTTAAGCTAAATTTCACTCAGGGCACCTGACCAGGTGAATCAAGAATTCTCTTACTTGGTGCCTATGTGACAACACGGAGTAAATAAAAAGCTCTTCACATCCGATAATGGTAAATTAAGAACACTTGGTATCAAAGCTTAAAGAAAGGAAAAGAAAAAGAAAAACAGGAAATGACATTCTCCACAGTTAGAGCTATAAACTAGTTTGATGTATCCTGGTTTTGCTCTGAGAATAATTTCTCCTTAGCATGCAGCTCATATACCATGGTCTAGCTTTGCTCCTGAACCAGCCTCAGTGCTGAAGGTCAAACGTTCTGGTTTTCTATTTTTTCCATATCTGGAATAACTTGTTTTTTTCTGTAATGCCTATAGTCGATTGTCGTTTATTTAAATTTTTTTATCAGTAAAACAAGATTCACAAGGGATGATTTTAGGGAAATTGGTAGGGTAATGCGAACAGATTATAGTAGTTTTTAGCAGCGACTAATCAGATTTAGTTTATCACTATAAAAGAGAATTATCCCCACTTTTTCTCTCTATGCAGAAAGCAGTACATCCCTCGACACTGTTGTCAAAAGAGGCCTACAGGGATTACAGCTCCTTCGCCCATATCATACATGATTTGTCAGAGCAGGCTGAAGAAATTCAGGCTGCTGAAAAAGTTTCTATGAAGGTAAGTGTTTCTCAAAAAGATGTATGTTGCTAAACTATGATTGCATTTGTTTTGATATAAAGCTATTTTATTTTTCACAGCAAGTCCTCCTGGAGCCCAGTGACTTCAAGGCAGTGAATTTCAAGTCCTATGCAGAAGGTTGGTGTTTGATTTTTATCCTTTTAGGTCTCTGAGCTTAGAGGTCCAAGACTTTGGAGACAAGAGATCTTGGTGCTGAAATTACAGCATTTTACTCCACCCACCAGGGGAATGACCTTGAATTTTTTATTTTGTTTTATAATTTTGATAAGTCTCCCTCCTTCCCTCAAACAAAGAAGGATCTGAAGACTTCTGTCAGCCTAAATGCAGTGCACAAACATAAAAAAAAATTACAATACAAAAAAAAAATAAAAAATCTGAAAGTAAAAGAATATTTCAAATGCAATACAGAAAGGTTTTCTGGTTAGAAAAGAAAAACAAAGAAAAAAACGGGTCCAATAAAGCAGACATGGTCGTCTGCTGTATTTTGAAGCTGTTTGTGGAGGGTTAGATTTAAGTAAAGCAGACAAAATAATTGTGGCATAAAAAAGGATAAACGCTAAATATGCGCTTTAGGTCAAATAACTCAGTGATGGATCTGTGAGGCCATATTTTTCCTCAGCCCATTTGTGAGATAAAATGTTTTGAGTGTGCCTTTTCTCTGCTTAAATAGTAGTGATTGTTCAGAAGCGATGTTCCAGTCTCTGCTGGAATGTAGGGAGTTGAAGCAGGGGTGATAAAAAGCACTTTCCTCTCTACTCTAAACAAGGGTGAAATATAAACATGTCCTTATTGTGTTCAAGGTTCTCACATCCTTCTTCGTGTCAGTGTAGAAGACAGTTGATGTCATGAACGGAAAACAGTTCTGAAATGTTTATCTGGCTAAATTTATGTCCTTGATTAATTGAAGTTGTTTTCCTTCTTTTGTTCAAGTGTGTGAGAAAGCTCTTATGTGCAGGGGGTGGGTTTAGTTTCATGGGGGAGTGTGCTGGGATTCTGAAAAGTATAAATGTGCTTAGGATGGTTAAGTCAGAGCTGTTCTACTCTCCGTCCCATCTAAGAACGTTAAGTAAATTTGAATATTATTTTTGTCACGGTTTTAAGGGTGATTGACCCAAATGCAGAAACTGTCAGAGAACAAGGAGCCGGTAAAGATGTTTATTAGACTACAAACAGGCAGGAAAGGCTCACTACACAACCTGCAGGCAGGGAATAGAAAGTCCAAGTGAGGAGCACGCCTGGTATGGATTATCTGTCTGCGACTCACTGCCTTCCGATGGGAGGAGATGGCTGAGTGACAGGTGGGTCAGCGGATGGAACACGGGCGGGAGCCCAAGCAGCGCCGCAGCAGTTTCCAGGAGAAGCTGAAGAAACCAGCATGAACCCAGGAAGGAGGTTCTCTATGGGTGAAAGGTGAAAAGGTGAATCCAATCTGAGAGAGAGCAAAACAAATCCGCAAGCAGAGCCTACAGGTTTGCGAGCGTAACTGAGACTCGAGCAGAGCGTGGTTTGTGCGCGAAGAGAAGGAGGCAAGCGAGAGGAGAAAATATCTGTGCAAGAAGCATTAAATCTGAGAGAAGA